TTTTTTTTTCTCTCTCTCTCTCTCTCTCTCTCTCTCTCTCTCTCTCTCTCTCTCTCTCTCTCTCTCTCTCGTTTATTAAAAGGCTTAGCTTTATTGACACCTCATAGACACCTATGGTCTAATGAAGCCTGCATAGGTGGACAGCTGCTTTTTAACACATTTTCCCAGCTGAACGTGGAATGTTTGGCTGGTTTAATCTAATATCGCTGCTGCTACTACATAAACTAAAATCCTTTAGATGATGACATAACTATGAGATCTGTATGGATGTTAACATTAACATCTTTAGTTGTCGCAAAATGCACTAGACATGCATTTTGGCAGGATGAAGGCATAACAAGAGACGATCTACATTTTCTTTTTGTTTGACTGATGATGTTCTGAATTAATGCTCATTGTCATTTTTTTTCACAGTGTTTGATATGCAAGGGTTCTTGCTGAATCTGGACACAAAGCTGTAAGTATTCTGTAGTATACAATTCCTTCCTTATACATTTCACCAATAGAGAGAAAAATGACTTGAAATCAAAAAGTTAAAATCAAAAGTTATTACAGTGATCAAAAGCAAACTGTCTTTTAAATTCATTTGAATTATTTATTTTTTTTACAAAAAAAAAACATTATTAGAAATATATTTAGGATTTTATGATTAACCATTTATTTTTCACCACATTACCTTTATGCTTTCTCTAGTTTAGTTAATTTGTCTTCAAGTGCAAGAAATTGATTTCTAAAAATACAAATGTTATTGCTGTTGCAGAATAAATTGTATACAACAAAAGTTATATACACTACCATTTAAAAGTAGAGTTTTTTTTTTCACATTGCTGAATTTTCAGCAGACATTACTCTAGTCGTCAGTGTCACATGATCCTACAGAAATGCTGATTTCCTGCTGAAGAAAAGTTTATCAAAGTGGAAAACAGTTGTGCTGCTTAATATTTTAGTGGAATCTGTGACACTTTATCCCTTTTTTCAAATGTGTTTACTGTCACTTTTAATCAATTTAATGTGACTTTACTGAATAAAAGTATTAATTTCTTTAAAAAAACAGCTTACATTTTTTAATGGTAGTTTTGTAAGAATAAGTTGTTGTAAAAATAATAAAATATAAATAAAATGAAAATCTAGGTTACTAAGAAGTCTTAAAAGCAGTAAAGGCTTTTGGCCTCATTCAGTGCCACCAGTGTCTGTTCCAGTGGCCTTGTGTGAGGTGTTAAGGTGTGATGTATTATAGGTCTGTGTGTGGTAGGTATATGTTTACATTTCATCTTTAAAGCAGCCAAACTCTCAGACTCTCACCTCACCCTAATTTCTCAGTGAGAGAAGACAATTATACAATAAGCAAAGCCTTCGACAAGTTTAGATTTAATTGACGCTGTGAGCAAAAACTGTCTGTGTGGTGCACTTCATCATTCAGCTGGCCTCAATCCACCATCCTCTCTGCTGCTTAAAGATTCAGAGCTGTCACGACAACAAAATACGACATTGTCCCTTTGGGCCAACCACTTCATCAAAATGAAGGCTTCAGCAAATAAGTGTCTTGTGGCTTTTATTTAAACCGTTGAAAAGGTACTTAGTGTAGGACAATGTGATTTGGTGTTGAAACCTGGGGCTTCGGCTTTCTAATCAACAATGTAATCTCAGAGATCATAGTTTTTTTTTAAATGTGTTACTGTCACTTCAGAAGAGCTCATACAGTTTTCTGATAGTGATTTTAATCCAATATTGAGACTCTCCACAGTTGCTTCTTTAGTTGCCATTTAACAAGGTGGTCCAGCCAGCATGTGTCTATTCTCACCCACCTCCAGTCTCTGATAGTCTTCATTTTATCTAGACTCTCTCTCTCTCTCTCTCTCTTTCTCTCCCCCTCCCTCCCTCTCCCTCTCTGTCTCTCTCTCTCTCTTTCTTGCGCGCACTCTGCCCACTGGCCTCTCAGACATGACCTGTGTCCTCCTCACCTGTTTATTTGAACTGCTGCAGGTTATTAATGACACTGATCAGTTCAGGTGGTAGGAGAATGTCAGCTGTCCCCATCCATTTAGAGGAATTCTCAATATTTCATTATTGTTACAACTTTTTGATAAATTATACACTACCATTCAGAAGGTTTTTTTTTTTTAATGTTTTTTAAATAAGTCACTTACGATCACTGAGGTTGCATCTGAGGTTTTATTTGATCAAAATACAGTAATATTGTGAAAAATATTACAAGTTAAAATAACTCCTTTTATTTTAATATATTTTAAAATGTATTTTATTCCTGTGATGGCAAAACTGAATCTTTAGCAGTCATTACTCCAGTCTTAATGTTACATGATCCGAAAAAAGTTAAAACTAAATTATTACAGTAAGGTGCCTATAATGGAGGCAATAAACTTTAAAACATTTAAAAAATATATATTCTAAACATTACACTGTTTATATGGCATAGCTCTCTCTAAGCATTGTTTGCATGGAACAAACTTCTGTCACGCATAACCAGATGTTTATTCATCTAGAAAAGTAGGCAACTTCATAGCTTCATAGAATAATAAACTGTTTTTATGGAGTAACTCGTCTAAGTACTTCACATTTCTGCTTTTAAACAGCCCAGAACTCTGGCCCTGCTAGTTCCATTGTAAGTGTGTAACAAGTTTTTGCCTTTTTCCTATAAAAAAAAAAAAACTGATGGGCAAGTCAAATGTTTTTTTTCTGTGCTGTGTTAACATCATGTCACAAATGCTATCTTTAGAGTGTGTTTTGAGCTTGGAACATTCTTTCAGAACAAAAGTATGAAATAAACACTCACTGTTTGTGCAGCCAGCAAAATGAGTTGCATTCCTATTGTTTGACTATTTCATTTATTTAACACATCAGCGATAAACGGAGTTTTTCAAAAGTAATCCATCACATCCTGCTCTAGATGTCATCCATCATATGCCAGGCTAGATAAAAACTATATACCTCAGATTAAACATTACCCTTTAGCATAGTTATTCTGTGTGATATTTCTGTCAGGTTTAACATTTACAATCCTGTCTAATTAAAATGAATGCCTTCTCTTTCTTCTCCTCTCTAACTGTCTACAGGCCACCGGAGTTGGTGTACAAGTACGGAAACCTCAGTGAAGGAGCCTGTAAACCTGGTTATGCAGCTGCCAAAATGAGTGCTATCTATCCAAAGTATGAACAGATTTCTTTATGAATGTAATACACAGGGTTCAACAATAAGACCCACTGCCTTGCAAACCGGAGCAATTTGGTTTTTCTAAGATACAAGATGTTGAAATTATTAGATAAACGTAAAGAGAATTTTTTCTAACACAAAAATGTCTAAACATTCTTATTGTTGAGTCCTGATACTTGTGTTGAGGTCTGTTGCAGTTCAACATGAATTTGTGTATTGCAAGATGTTGTAAAAAGGTATTCAAAGGAAGGATATTTGAAGATGGCAGATGGGATGGAAGTTTGGTTGGAAAAATACAAAGAGGCTTTGACTGAATCGTGTGGCTTTTTTATTTTCATCTGTTCAGGTTTTTTAAACCTGCTTTTGTTCTGCAAGGCTTTGCGATATTGAGCTCTTTTGTCACCTACAGAATGAAGTACAAACTCTGTGAACTGATGACCGCTTTGTTAAAGATTTACTGCTTTAGCTCTGATTTACCAAGTTCCTCATATGCTCCACTCTCCCTGGTTTCGCCCGTCACCATTCAAGAGACACTATGTCACTTCTCAGCTACGAAGCCCTTGAGGCCAGTCTCATAATATCTGTGAATGAACAGTAAGCTGCTCCTCTGATCCTTTAAGTCCTTGTTAATTTGTGACCTACCACAACAAACAACCACTTCCGCATGCTTGCCAGCTCCACAATGCGCCTGTTGTAACTCTTTTTGGAAGTGGACAGTGATTCTGTCTTTGCGGCTGAGAGGAGAAAGCCCTGTAAAGTAGCCTCTGTGGAGGACCGAATGAGTCAACTTCTTCAGTTTGACTGAATCCTCAGAGCGCTCTGCGACCCTCAGTGATGTCACGCAACACTCTGCGACCCTCTGTGATGTCACAGGCTTTTGATGGAACTTTCTGTATTTGTTGGCATCCGTACATTGTTCCCTCATCTTTAGGATAATTCTCCGGCTGGCTATTGTCAGCATAAGTAATTTTTCCACTACAGCATGCCCGGCGATGATAAACATTTAAGCATCACGGTTTGGTTTGTTCATGGATATTTCTCTCATCGCCATAAGATTGTTTAGAAATAGCTTTTCCACCAATCAAGCAAGATTATTTTGGAAAGGATTTGAGCAGCTATCACAAAACAGCAACTATCACACAATAGCAACAGCAATATTTAGTCCAAGTCAGATGGTTGCCTTGGGTTGGTTTAAACAAAAACTGACTAAACGAAAATATTATTTTCATGAAATAACTTTTTAAAGAAGAGAGAATAAAGACATTTTGACAACAAGAATGACAAGTTCACGTTGCAGAAGATGTAGTTTTGGTGTGTCCTTATCTCTCTAGAATCTGCACAAGCATCAGAAGGACCCATAAAGCAGAGCAATGACTGAATTGGTGCCTGAAGCTTTTTAACAGGTCTCCAATTAATGGCATGTGTGTTAACAGTGTCTACAATGTGCCTCTAATTAACACGTGTGATGGATCAAGGTTCTCGGGGTCTTTGTTTGTCTTTTGAGGTCAAAAGGCACTTCTGCCACATCATTACAACACAAATATTTGAGCATTTGTATTGTGTGATAAATTATTTTTTATGATGTTTAGGATACATTGATTCAGTTTAGATATTTCCAGAATCATGAACTAAATAACAGTTGAAACGTTTTATGTAATTCTTGAATGTATAAAACAGAGATCGGTATTGAACATGTTAGAGGAATTTGAAAATTGCAGTCAGTAACACTTTGTAATTGGTTTCAGTTTGTTTACATTAGTTTCAATGTGCAACAATTAGTTCATTAATAATTATAATTAAAATGTACTGTTCTTTAAGCCGTATTCATTAATACAATATATATACAATAACAATAATACAATTAATATTTTTTTTATAAAATCTTGCAAGTATATGTCGAAATTAACATGAGATTAATAAATGCTGTAAAAAATCACTAGTGCTTGATACCTAATTTATTAACTAATGTAAACTAATTGAATTTTATTGTAAAGTGTTTCCATTGAATAGTCATATTAGTTTAGTAATTGGAAATGTTTCATTTGCATCTATAAGGACAGAATTGTCGTCATGTTTGGATGAAGAACTTTAAAGGGATACTCCACCCCAAAATGAAAATGTTGTCATTAATCACTTACCCCCATGTCGTTCCAAACCCCTAAAAGCTTCGTTCGTCTTCGGAACACAATTTAAGATATTGTGTATTTACGCTTTGATTTGAACGAAAACAGCGCATCCGTGCAGCGCGGCTGACACAGAATAGCGTACGCTGCTTGTGTTCAGCAGATATTCTCCAAAATGGTGCTACGGTGATGCGGAGAGACACAGAGGAGTCGTTATTTTTGTTTTCTTCGCGTACAAAAAGTATTCATCACTTCATAACGTTACGGTTGAACCTCTGATGGCAGATGGACTATTCTGACGATGTCTTTCATACTTTTCTGGACCTTGACAGTGTCATTTACTTGGCAGTCAATCGGACAGTCACAAGCCTCCCGGTTTTCATCCAAAATATCTTAAATTGTGTTCCGAAGATGAACGAAGCTTTTAGGGGTTTGGAACGACATGGGGGTAAGTGATTAATGACAAAATGTTCATTTTGGGGTGGAGTATCCCTTTAAGACTCAAATTTAACAATGTCACATAGTATAATTTTATTTTTATCCATGCATTTTCATAGTAAATAATTTTGTTGAATAGTCAAATATAGATTTGAAAGTTTAATGTGCAAAACTACATATAATTAGTATTTTAATGTTTTTACGTTTTTAAGTGCACCTCCACAAAACTGGCAAAACCTCGTCAACCTCAATAATAATTTGTTGCATAAAGTAGAGATTGTCCTATTAGTTAATGCCCACTTGGCATGTTCATTATGTGGTCATTTGGGCAATCACTTGTCTCTTCCTTTAGGAGTTACATTTTATTAGGGGAACCCTGCATGTGTAGGAAACCACCTGAAGCCATGCGATCCCACCCTCTGTTAGTTCACCCCTGGAATCCACTTTATTTTCAACACCTCCACTCCTTTCCCAAAACTGTTTGTATTGGACTCTTAAATCAAATGTCTTGGTTGAACTTGAGCGGGCGGTTATGAAAATACAGCCCCCAGTGAGAGATAGCCATGAGGAAATGAGCACAATGTGCACAGGCCTCCTGTTCAGGACCCCTTTATGACAAGCAGACGCCTGTCTGTCTTTAGGCCTGAAGCGCTCACCCAGTTATTTATAATGTGAGTTAGTATGCACCCCACAAGCCACAAGTTAATTAATCACAGTTTGTTTTGGCAAGGTCTTGCTTTGTCTGCTTTTATCAGGTGATATAAGGAGAGAATCCGATGTGACATTTTTATTTATTTTTATTTTTTCTTGCCATTGTCGGACATCCCCTGGCCTTAAGTGATTAGTGCATGAAATAGACACACTTTTATCAGAGTATGTTAAACAGTTGCCAATAGCGATCCCATTTATTTCCTCATCTCATTTCCTGGCGCTGCTCTTTGACATTTTCTTCAGTTGACGAAATCTTTGTCCTCACTTTCCCCATATTTGACGTTGCTGTAGAGTTAGGTGGTTTAAAAGCAACTGGAGTCCTCTATTACTAAAAAGGCTGAAAACTTGTGCTACACTGTACTTTGGAAAGGATTGTTGGGAAAGGGGTTCTGCAGCTTTTTTTCCCCCAGGACCTGTATTTTAAATGACCCATGTGTTCTCTTTACTGACCCATGATTAGTCTTTTAAGTTTTCTTAAGGGGGTCTAATTTTTTTCAAACCCTCTGTACCTCTCGACAAGCTCTACTTGTTAGTCATCCTCCCACCCCAAACCAATCTACTGCGATTTTCTAACTTAATCGTAAAAGAAAAATGATCCAATATCCTTACGTTTGCAAATGAATAATGAGCCTGTTGAGTTGGGAGGGTCATAAAAACAGACATCCATCGCGTGGCCACACTTACAGAAGCAGAAAAGAGGCATGTTTGTGGAAAATGCATCTGCTGTCTGAGACTTTCTCAGTTCTTAAGTCATTAAGTCATTAAATGACCCCTGAAAGGGATCTAGTTTTTGAAAAATGTCTTTGTTTGATGACTTCTGAAAGTTCACACTGCCTACTGACACCTTTGAGTGGCTCAATGTTCCACTTTGGTAGCAGGCGGAGTAGATAAGAAATGACAGCGAGGATCTGCGGGTCAGAGGCAAAGGCATTCATCATTGCGCTTGCACATCTAGCCTTAAGAGAGGAGTGTGCTGGGAAATGGCCTCCAGGTAGGGTATCCCCTGACTCCTCTTGAGAAGGGGTGAATCGGAGGCCTGGGTTTGTGATTGATTGGTGCTGGTTCAGCCACACTGTTTTAAACTTAGGTCAAAGCAGAGACGAAGTGAGACCTCTCACAGACAAAAGCCCCCTTTGACTCCCTGCCTCCTGATGTCCGGGAAGTGAACGTGTTATTTGGCTATATGTTATTAGCCCTGTTGATATGGAATTGACATGTTGCTATGGAGACGTTTTTGGTACTGTACAAAATTAGCTGAATGAAAAATATAATTGTAAATATAATTTAGATAAAAAATATAGTTATATTAATCTGAATGTTAGTTGTCCTTGGTAGTATTCATTATATCATGTTTATCATGCTTTTGCAGGTTTACTAAGCCAGCTTCCATGTTTCTGGACCGGAACTTTAAGCGGCTTTCAAAAGTTACAAACTATTTACCTCCATTTGGATTCAAAACACAAGGTATGTATTCATTTTAAAAATAATTTATAGTAGACTTTGCCCCTTAACAACAATGTTGTTCAAATGCTTTCTTGTTTCCAGAAATGAATAGACTGGTTCTTTTGATAAATGCTTCCAAAAAATGAGTGAACTGTTTGAATCAGTCTGTAGCACTTAAGAGGACTATGTGGGATGTTTTTTTTGTTTTTTTTTAGTCCTGCTCTCACAAGATTTGCAAGAAGAAAAAAAAATATATATATATATACTGTATGTGTGTATATATGTGTGTGTGTGTGTTATAGTGTGTGGGCAATTTAGTCACGCTGGATGCGTCAGTGTCACATTTTCATAGACTGCGCTATTTCAATTTACCATTGGTTGACTGCCAAATGAAAATATCAGAGGGGACGATAAAATGATTAAACATGATTTAGTTTCCATTTTTTTAAGCTCCTGTTAATTTCATTTGTTCCTATCTATTTTTTTGAACCAGTTCAGAGCCCTGGTTTTGATAGACAGTAATACAGTAATACTCTGGTCCCAAAAATTATTCTCATCATAAATTACAAATGCTTTAAACTGTTGCCGTCCATGTTTCTTTATAGCTGTAGGACGTTAAACTCTTACTATGTTTAACCATTGAACCACAGGGTCAGGACTGACTTTGATATTGGGAGAGCAAACCTCTGTAATGTGTATGTGGCCAGATGCATTGCACAGTATGGCAGACATTTATGTACTTTAGTGATGTGGGGATTTTATTCCATTCAACAGAGAACAAGAACTTCATTCTACTGAGCTTTGTGAATGTATAAAAGAGAATGAGACCTTTGGAAAAGACCTGTAGATAAGGCAACGGTTTCTTGAAACCAATTGGTTGTTAATGTAATCCACCATTGTCTACTTTTTTCCCTCCATCTGAAAAGATGATTACATCTTAGATTTCAGCACATTGTCAAATGTTCCAGCACTTGAGGGCAGCGGGCACATTAAGGGTACCTTGAATGTAACCTTTGTGTTCAGCTAAGGGCTGCCGTGTCCACACACATGAAGACTTTCAAAAGAGCAGGTCCCATGTTTACATTACACCTGGTTTTTGTTTGCTGCATAGATCGTGAGCCTAGCGTGACTTCACTTTTAACTTTATTCATTTGGAATGGTTGATACGTGTGGTTCTTGAATAGAGCTTGTCAAAGGTTCTCAAGTTGTGGGCCAGAAAGGCATAAAAATAGATGTCTTATTTCTGCACTACCAATTCCAATATAAGCGATCCCTGTGGCCACCTATGACTTTGTGATTTCTGCTCTTGATTACGTCGCCCTCAGTGGAAAACATTCAGTCAAAGCATTGCAGATGGTTGTGTCAACTGTAGGGTAATCCCAACATCCTTTACAGATGGATGAACCAAATACCTCAAAGGAGAATAAACCATTAGGGCTGTTTTGACTCTAAGTTTGGCCTTTGAAGTGCCTTACAGTATTAAGTAGCCTCTTAAAATGTCTCCAGTGACTCAGGATGAAGTGTCACTCTCAGCTACTTTGGTGAAGTTCCTCTAATACTCATGATGAATTGTTAAAATAGTTTATGAGCATGTTTAATCCGTTTTTAAACAAAAAAAAGCCTTTTGACAAACATTACATGAAAAAAAAATAATAATTATGTGACTCGCACTCTCAGAAGTCATGCTCCAGATGGTTTTGTGATATAACTCCTAAACGTATTTGCATCATACCTGTTCATTTCTACTTTATTTCAGAATGTGGTTTTCCTCTTGCCAAAACAGTGTATGTTAAAGATGAGGGTCTCATTTGTTTAAACTGCCAAGAGTGATACTTGACTGAAATGTTTATGCCATTGATCTTAAAACAATTCGAACCCATTGCTCTTCC